CAAACAAATCATCGATCCTAGGGAGGGGATACTTATTCTTAATCGTCACCTTATTAAGTTATCGATAGTTGATACAGAGACGCATTGAACCATCTTTCTTCTTTACAAACAACACTGGAGCTCCCAATGTGATAAACTAGGTATGTTAAATCCTTTATTTAACAATTCTTGCAACTGAATCTTTAACTCGCTCAATTCCTTTGGAGCCATATCGTAAGGGACATTGCAATAAATGATGTTCCAGGCATTACCTTGATTTGAAACTCAACCTCCCTGTCTGAAGGTAATCCCGACAACTCAGCAGTAAAGACATCTGGAAACTCTCTAACCGTCGAACTATCCTCTATTCTACTTTCGTTGACGCAAGTATTAATCACATTAGCAATGAAACCTTGACATCCTTGTAACAATAACTTCTTTGTTGGCATCACTGATTTAACGTTTGCTAACAAATTAAGTCTCTCACTAATCACAATCACTTCGAATCCATCAAGACTAATTAGAGTTACTCTCTTCAATCTACAATCGACATTTTCATAATAATGATATAACCAGTTCATTCCCATAATTACTTTAAATTCATCAAAGGGTAATTCCATCAGATTAACAGGGAATTCAATTCTCTGAATCCTTATGGGACACCCTTGACACACTCGATTTACCCGAACACTATGCCCTAATGGGTTAGTCACTATCACATCACTACTTATTGCTTCTAATTGGATTCTCAACTCTTTCACTAACTTGCTATTAACATATGAATAAGTGGAACCCGGATCAATCAATACCAAAACAAATTTATCATGTAATTGGAAAGTACATGCAATGATCTCCGGATCATCACATTCTTCATTTGTCCTTATGTTGTACACTCGGGCAGTTGAATGTATCTCCTGCTGAGTGAAAGACTCAGACTGATTTCTTCCTCTACCTCATTCTCATCCTCTTCCTCTCAAAGGTACATAAGCATATCGCTCAGACTAGGACGTCTTTCCTGTCATCATGGGACAATCCCAGATAAAATGTTCAGTGTCCCCACATCGAAAACAGGCTCCGGAGACTAATTGACATACTCCGGAATGATTCTTCCCACAATGTTGACACTATCTTGATTGACCCTGATTAAATCTCCCAGTTTCAAACTCTACAGATTGAGTCTGTCTAGCTCTTATCTGATTTGATCATCTAGCAGAGGATGCAACTAACTCAGACCTCGTCTGAGATCGAAAACCAGAATCTCTACCACTCTTGGATGTTGTTGAACTCGAGGGAGCATCATCTCTCTTGGACATCTAAGTTTTTTGTTCTCCATACCTCTCGTTCTGAACTCTCTCCAGAGCTTTAGCACGATTGACCACCTCTTAGAACGATGAAAAATTCAATACTATCAACATCTCTTTCAATCTAGGACACAAACCTTCAACAAACCAATCGCAAGCATCCTTCTAAGTTGGAACTAGTTCAGCAGCAAATCAACTCAACTTATTAAACTCGCACTCGTATTCATACATGGTGCAATTCCTTTGCTTTTAGCTCATAAACTCTTGCTTCATTTGTCTAATAAACTGGTCCACAATATACTTGTGTTTGAATTCTTCTAAGAACAAAGACCGTGTCACTTGATCAATTAGCATTCTCATAGTGACATTTGTCCACCATACTCTAGCTTGACCACGAAACAACAAAACTATTCCATCTAATTTCTCCACTTCAGAGCAGTGTAGGGGAGGTCGTATCAACACCAAGATCAAGAGACTTGATGTTGTCAGACTTGTCGGTAGCACAACCTGTTCTACAATCAGTTCCATGAGTGTAGTTTAACGCGTTTTTCCCATAACCTAGGGCATCAATCTCGAGATAATACCCCACCTCAGGATCTAAAGCATTACTCTTGGAATCAATTCCAAGTCGACTTTTGTTTACCAAAAATTCTTCTCTGGCCACCAGCAGTTCTCGCATGAATGATGACTCGAAATTTCTTGAAACACCATCAATTTTCTCTTTAGAATTACAGACATCAACAAATCTTTTCGATTCCAAACCAAAGACCAGATTATTTTGTTCTCTTGTACATTCTATTATATCAATTCTAATACAAAAGGACCTCCCTAGAGACCGAACAATGATCGAGTTAGGGATATCAAAAGGGCTCACCGCCCTGACTATCATCTTTGTCGTTGATAGATCCTCCATTTTTCTAGTTGAGTATTCTAGTTCAATGAAAGAACCCATCTGTTACCTAAGGCTGAAAAGAAGCCTTCATGCCACAATTGAAGAGGAGTGCCTTTAAGAGAGTATACGAAGAACACTAAAGGAATGTCATTCTTGTTCTTTAGTGGTACGATATGTCTAAACCAGAAAAGAAAACACTCTTTCTTTTTTTCTTTCCCAGTCTTCTTCCAAGTCTATCAATGAATCGAAAGTAATGATGCCTGTGGAGGAGTTGCCCCACTTAGCTAGTCTTACATTAATCCCATCATTAGCTAGAGCTCTCTGGATAAAGTCCAAATCAAAGTTGTCTTTAATCATCCCTGCCAGTGAGAAATCGATCCACTTCATTTTGTTCGCAATAAATTGGAAGTCTAGTAAAGTGTCAATGTTCATCCTCTTGTATTCGTTTTTCTTACAATTACCACCACTTGAATCTTTCTCTTAAGTTTTTGTTACCAAGAAGAGCCTCCCTGTAAGATCTATCATCCCTTTCCTTTACGAACCAATTGTTAAAGTTTCTCTTATTCCTAGTATTAGCACCTGGCTAGCTTCCATCTTTACCCTCACCTTCTTCATGCCCTCCCTCGGAGATTGGATTGGGAATTTGGGTCTTGAAACCTCAACTTGGATTCCATCAATGCGAGCCTTATTAGTTTTGCTAATGCCTTTGTCCAGATCATCCATAGATGCGAACCGGACAAACGCAAAGGTTGAGTTCTTTTACTTTGGTTCCTTGTTTTGTTGAGGAATGAAAAACTTGCTTGACCTTACTGTAGTGATTGAAGACCTCTTTGAGAGCCCCCCTGGTGACTCGTTTACTAAGATTGTCGACAACCGCAATCCGTGGATGAATTAAGTTTAAGACTAAACAACTTTCATAGAATCAATGTAAAAAATAAATAAAACAAAGCCATTTTTGTGAAAACAAAATCCAAAAAGTAAAAACCAAGATTAATATGAAAAATCGAATCGACTTATCATCGCTTTCTTACTTAATAATTGATCAAACTGTTATATTTCATTCTCAACTAGAAGTGACACACTTTTATTAAAGAATCGATTAGGATGTGGGCGATTATGGCCATATATTTGACCATTCTTTCACCCATTCACATTTATTCCTCATTGCTCAAGCAGTTAAGACATTTATATTTGAGTCTTCATTTACTTGATGCAAGATAAATAGAATTTGCAAATTTCCATAATAAATAGACAAAAAATGCAACAACTAGGTCAAGCTTCAACAAAATCAAAATCGAGTCAAATCTAAGAGCTTAAACAGGGGTGAACATTCAATCGAGTCGAGTAAAAATTTTTCAAGTTATTCAAGTTGACGAGTCGTATTTTACAAAACCAAACTTAACTTGAAATTTTTTCAAGTCAAGTTATTCGAGTTTCTATACTAATTTTATTATAACTATTTATAGTATTACGGCAATGATTTGTTTCAATTTTTTTACTTTCTTTATATATATAATCTTTTCACAATATAATATTATTTAATATATCAAATACAATCTATAATTATAAAATATATTCCTAATATTATATTTTAAAGAAAATATTTTGAGGGTAAAATATTGACAAGTATAAAGGAGTCAAAGAATTGATGAGAATAAAGAATTTGCAAACAATTGTATTCAAAAATCCAAATTGAGTAAAATATAAATTTAATGAACTAAATAAAAGAAGAGAGCACATTTTTAATAAAAAAAGTAAGAATTAAAGTTACATAGGTATTCTATTGTGGTATATAAGCACGTTGTTCAAATTTTATAAAAACGGACTTAAAATAAAGGATAGATTGAAGAAATAAGGAAATTATGAAAAATTGAAAGAATTGAAAGTACATATGTATTTTACGATGATTCAAGAGCATATAGTTCAAATTTAATAAAAAAAATGGACTTTAAATGGAGGAGAAATCAAAGGAATAATGAAATCAGGGATTTAATCGTAAAACTGTCAAAATGCTTAATCAAATTTTCAATCTTTTGAGTAACTCAAAATTTGAAAATATCAACTCGAAGTCGAAAATCAAATTGATAATTTCAATTTACTTGAATAACTCAAACATCTCGACTCGAATAACTTGAAATTGAAAAAAAATTAATTTTTCGAGTCGAGTTTTTCTTACCCCTAAGCTTAAATATTAAAATGGCAATTATAGGTGAGTATTCAATTGAAATGACTAAAAAATTAAGCTAGTCAAGTTCACGAGTCGTATTTATCACTCTAACTCAATTTGAATTTTTTTTTTGAGTTGAATCGAGTGAAATAAAATTTGAATCAAATCGAATAAATTTGTTCGAGTTAAATTAAGAAAAACATCAGAATTAAAATCTTGTCAATAATATGACTAAATTTCAAGTTAGAGCGTATAAGTTTAAAGTCATGTATATTTGAAAACTCTTTTAAATAAAAATAAGATACTTTAGATTCATAACTTATTTGGTTAAAGCCTCAAACGTATCATTACGGAACAATTTTGAAATTTTTATAATTTAACATTTTTATATATTTCAAAAGACTTTTTAAGGATTATATGTATTTTTAATATTTTATAATATTTGCAATTTATATATATATATATATATATATATATATATTTTGTAATTTTTGTTTAGAGGGACCAGGTTACATATTTTTTAAACTGTCAGGGACCCAAGTTGTACTTGTCAAAATTTGTAGTTCAGTTTATTTGAATGGAACAATTAAACCAACTCGAACAAAAATCAAAGAATCCAAATAACTCAATTCGAAAAATCGAATTAGATCAAGTTTTGCTCACCCCTAATGACCATGTCTACTTCAAAGCAAAATAAGAAAATCAAACTCCTTCCTGATTCCTCATGCATATGTCAGCTCTATTTCTGGTTCCCTCTCCACTTCCATGTCTGCTCCCTCCTTTCTATATATTTGTATGAAGAGTGGATTAGTGGTATTGGGTAGCTTTGAGGATATATGTGAAAGCTCAAAGTTGGCTGCGTCTATATCGTTGCATGTCATCTCAATCATATTTATATATTATTTTCATGAATTCAATCATGCTTGATCTGAGGTGCATATGGCACCTAATCAGCAGAATATTATTTTTATGTAGAATATTATTGGTATTTTCTATTTTTGTACAATAAAAAACAGGAAGGAAAAAAAATCTCTCCTCTATCCTCTCATTTTGTTTCTTCGGCCCATTTCCTTCCAAAGATATTGTAATGTAGAGGTTCCAGAAGAGCCCTTAAGGATGTTACAGGAAACAGACTCAATTCTTAGGACTGGAAAGCAAGTTGCTGTTTAAGTTGGGGAATCTTAAGTACTATAACCACACTTTCAACAGCATAATTTAGTTGAAAAACCAGACTAAGGTAGCAATTAGTGTATGAAAACAATTAAAAAAAAACTCCTAGCTGAAATATTTCAATCTTATATCGCTACAGCTTACTTTTTCTCAAGTATCCTAAACTACATGGAAGTTTTACTCCAAATGAGTGTTTCAACTGAAGAAGTCACATCGTTCAAGATACAGGATCAACTAACTTTCATAAGATTTAAAATTCATATTCTACAAGAAATAAAAAAAAAAATGTAAGAAGCCGATCACACGATGATTCAGTAGACTGCAGTGTCATTTAAAGCACATATAAAAGTTGGTCAACATGCAAAGTTTTACCATAGCTAAAAGCAGAGAAAGCAAGAATCAATTTCTAATGAACCAAATCATTGAAAACATTGCATTTGAAGGAAAATAACATCAAAAAAGAACCAACAGATATCCACAAATATACTTGAGATACAGGCAAACATTAAGCAAAGAAATCAGTGAAAATAGTTCAACTAGAAAGAAATAACAACAAACCTCAGTCATTTGTATTTGTCCACAAATCACGGCACCAGTGCCCTTAGGACTATGAATTTGCTTAGCCCTAGCAAAGGCAGCCTGCAAAAGTCAAAGTAGGTTACAATACTTTGATTATTATGGCATCAAACAATCTTAAGACATGGAATTGAATACAGTACTCTACCTGTACATAGCCACTTTCACCAGTCCAACTATCATCTGGCTGTGATAATACTGGCACAATCTTGACACCAGAAGATTCCCAGTCTTTAAACCTATCCTTTAATACGAGAACAAACAAGAACTTCAGAATCAAACATAGGATTTGCTTGTTCTAGAAAATTAAAGTCTAACAAAATGAACAAGCATGCCTCGGACCTGATAAGCCATTCTCCTAAGGTTTCTGGCACCAAAATAGAGCCCGACATCAGATCTCTTATCAGCACCAAATCCTGATTCAATGAGAGAGCGAATTGGACTAGAAATGAGAAAGTAAAGAGAACAAGTAAGTGAATACATAAAATTAAGGGCTTTTTATATGACATGTATCACACTGTTATCCACATTTGGAGGATGCAGGAGCTATTAAGCTATTAATTATTCCATTATTTCAGTTTTGTTTATTAATTATTAGGCATGGGGACGGGATTACATCTTTAGAGCTTTAATCTAGGGCTATAATCAAATCTTCATTTGTATCCTTCATGCAAATTGTCGGGTTCTACTGTTAATTAAGAAGTGTAATATTTAGGAATCTTTTAAGAAAAGGGAGTCTTATCTCTAGATAAAGTTTTGAAGCCAATTCAAGCCAAATTAGCCAATTTGGTTTTGTTTTCCGTTTTACACCAAATAATGCTCAGCCTAATAAACAAAATAAGACTGGAGAACGGGTGCATTAGTTATATTGAAAGGGAAAGGTGTTACTGCAAATTGAAAAGCATACATATAAAACAAATCCCATAAGCCTGCAAATCCATGGATCCATTCCATAGCAACTACTCAATCCATCTCTAAATATTAATTATTAAATGCTTTAAAACACAGATAAAGTTGACAAACTAAAGAATCATGCTATTGTGGCAAGAAAACTTCCGATCAGATCAGCGTATTCGTGATGTCAAATCTGAATACTAAGAAGATTCAAACATCTGGTTGTACACTAAAATATGAAACCAAAAATAATAATTGATATCGAACATGAAAACCACACAAAATTGCCCAAATTAAAATATACTATTTTGAAAATAGTGTGGCTAACAGATACTGATTCGTCCTTGAATATCAAAGAGGGGATTTTAGGAGACCATGTACTCAATGAAGATGCATACATGATTATGTGCGAAGAGAAAAATGCTAATTTCTGAGCTTCAGAGAGCATAAATTACAAGTTAATCACAGAAATGAGAAACCTAACCTGATTCCTGATCCAGTAGCGAAAATCAAAACCGTCGGATAATCCTCAGGCGGATCGATCTTATCAATATTAAAGCCGTTTCCCATCGCTTGAGTAAGCTCCACCACATCCCCTTTCTTTAAGCCGCACAAAAGCTCCGCCGTCGACCCCGCCACCTTCTTCACCAAAAACTCGAAAGCTCCAGTTGAGGCTGACTGTGAAGGCGGAGACGCTATGGCTAAGAAAGAAGGTTTCTCCACATCAGGGAGCCGCAGCTGGAGGTACTGTCCCGGTAAGATATGCGAGGCCGCAAGATCAGGAGAGCTGGACACGTCGATGGTAACGTGGAAGCGGGACTCGGCGGCTGTCTTGATTGATGAGATCGGAGATGGGGTCCAGACGGTGGTATCTTGGCGAAGAGCAACGAGAGTAGCGAATAGACGGCGAGGGGGTCAAGGAGCGGAAGGGGAATTGGCAGGCGGCCCAATACATGTGCCAGATAGTATTAGCCCGCATGTTTGAGGGTCAGTTTTTTAGTGCTTATAATATTTATATAAATATTTGGCTAAAAAAATAATAGAGGTTTTTGTTTTAAAAAATACATGAAAATATCGTTTTAGGTGATATTTATATTTTTGTAGGTTTTGATTTGTTGTAGTATTAATATTATTTTATTATAATTTTTATTATATTTTTATTTTAAAAAAATTATTTATATTTTATCTATTATACGATATAAATATAAGGATATAAAATTATTATCTTGCAATATTAAAATTCATTAGACTGAAAATTGGCGCAGGATAGGCCTGGGAAGGGGAGGATCGCTGCAGGGCGCATGTGGGTGTAATGACGGTCATGGTCTGGGTGGAGAATTGTGAACGAGTACAAAAAGCTGGTTAGAGTGGCGGGGACTAGATAGAGAGAGAGAGAGAGAGGCGGCGCAAAAGGTGGGCAGGAGCTGATGAGGTGGCGTTTCATAAAATGAGCCCGTGAGTCACTTTTGGAGCCTCCACATGGCATTTGGAGGGTGTGATACCCTAATTCCAAGGGTAAGCAGTTTTAGGTTTTTTCGTGTTTTGTCGGATAATTATGTCGTACGCCGATTTAAATTTAAAAAAAAGTCTGATAAAAAATGTTATGAAAAAAAAATTTACTTTAACACAATCTAAAGTGCTACTGATTTTTTTAACATTTTTCAATCGAATCAGAAATGTTATAAAAAGATTTATAATCAACAAATATTAATACAAAATTAACATTTTAAGTTCCATCCAATTAAAAATATTATATATTTTCATAATATGTTTTACCATATCTTAATCTTAAATTAGATTGTCTTTATACTTTCCCCATTTATCTCTTTTAATGAATTTCTCATAATGTAAACTCTTATGATATAATATTTAAAATTTGTATAATATAAAATTTTAAAAATTATATAATTAGTAAAAATACTGAAATTATATAAAATTGTAAGTGCTCTATTTAAAAAACTTCAATTGTTGGGCACTGTTTTAAGTGCTAAAATTTTATAGGCCGAACAAATAAAATTTGCCTGTGTAAAAGCCAAAAGCCCATTTTGATTACATCTTAAAAAGACAAATTATACTAGTGCAAGTATTGAACGCAACTAGCAAAGAAATTTATCAAATTGCATATCATCCTTTGAACGTTAGGGATGAACACATTCAGTATTTCACAGTTCACAACAGATTTAGCACCAATATAAGAAACAATGACTGCCGTCCACATAAGCACTTTTAAATGTCCTAACAATCAACTAAACAACTTGCCAAACATTAGAATAGGAATTTGCTAGTCAATTTCAATTTTTTTTAGGGTTTTTCTAAAAGTGATCTTCACGATGCTTTCCATTAGGTTCAACTGAATTCTCAAACAGATGATTCTTCACCTCTGTCTGTCGTTGCATATTTCCCACTTCATCAGAATGTGGTCGATAACCGCAATGGTGGTGATGCTGACCACTTCTATTGCGCCTTGACTCGTGAGTGTCGTCAGATGAGTTACCTATTGATCGACCTCTTTGATAAGGTCTCTCATTATTAGAATCTAGGGAACCAGAGACAATGCTATTTGATTGTCGATGATACTTACCGTGGTTTGCATGGCTTTGCCTTCTAGGTGCGTGAACAGCTTCATCACTTGAAGACTCTGAAGCACTACACCCTGCCCGATGATGACGTTTGTGGTGCCTTCTGTAGCTTCTCTTTCGATTTCTACTATCATTCTCATCACTTGAATCTGAAGTACTAGACACTGAACCCCGACGGCGTTTGTTGAGCTTCGCACGCCTTCTTTTGACTATCTGATTATCCTCATCATCTGAGGAAACAATAGATACTGTATCTGATCTTGAATCATGATGCTTCAATTTTTGGGAGCTTCGCCTTTTCCTCCTCTCTTCTTCAGAACCACTATCATATTCATCACTGAAACCTGGTGAATGTCTCTTCAATTTTTTCTTTGACTTCTCCTTTTTCCTATCATGGTCACCTGAATCAGAGTGGCCATTCTTCCTATGCTTTTTATGGGATCTTCTTCTCCTTTTAATCCCTCCATCCGTACTGTCACTCTCACTGTCAGTATCAGACTCGTACCTTTTGTGCTTCGCCCTCTTTGTTCTCTTCTCTTTGGTCTCGGCATCCAGCCTCGCCTTTGCTGCAGCTTCTAACTTCTGCTCCCATTTCAAAGGGGCTTCTTTCTTCTCCAAAGCTCTCTTCTTCTTCTCCTCAACCAATTGGATGAACTTCTTGCAGTCCATTTATAAAAGAAAACCAACTCAATAACTGCATTTTTGTACGATGATGACCAGAAGTACATCTCACAGAAGAGAAAAAACAATGTTAGTTCTTCCATCATTTGATATCATCAACAATATAATAAAAAGAATAAGATCTTAAATCCTTTTACTGCAACCAAGCTGATAAGGCATTTACTGTTTAAGTTTAAACCAATAAACCAACGATAAAAGATCTTAAATTTGTCAGTGACATAGAAATTCTTCAAAGTGACAATTCAAACGCCCACCTTCAAAATAGCTTCTACTAAATTACTAGTGGTTAGTAGAAATTCCTTTCAAACTAAATAAACCCATTCTACTTTTTATGTTCATTTCGAACTACCTTACCGAAACTTGTTTGGCAAAATCCTTGTCCAAAATCTAAAGAATTTCTAACACAAAACTCCAAGTTCTAACCATATAGACATTGAAAGAATTTCAATGAATTATTAGTGGAAGTTCCATTTCATCCTTCTAGTACTATATTCTGAATATAATCCAAGGGCAACCAGCAACAAGCAAAAGATTCGATTCATCTTTATGCAATATCAACGAGCAAAATATCAAACATAATCCGAGAAATGAGTTTGTAGATCCACAATCAGGAACAAAGATTAAAATTCGCGATAACCAATAATTATAAAGAAATTACAATCTAAAATCGCAAATCAAATTCATCACACCGAATAAACCCTAACCTAAAAATAAACTTAAAAAATTGAAAACAAGAAGATGTGACAGCAAGCGTACCTGAATAACGAGAGAATTTCGAGAGGCGAAAAGAAAAACGAATGCAGATCTCAGAGAGAGAGAGAGAGAGAGAGAGATTAGGGTTTGACCTAGGGACGTCGTTTCTAGAGAAATCCATCGGTTGTGCGATACAATTTATATATAGCCGCTCACGCGCAAACGCAAAGGTTGCCAAAAGCTTGTGCGTTTACTGGTCAAAAACAAACTCCGCGTTGGGTTCACTTTAACCACGTGGCGAAATGGCTATTGGACTACGGTACACCTGTTTATGGGTTAAGTTGCAGTTTGGGCTTCTCTTGGTGTATATTTTATAATTAATCATCCAACTATCAATAAGCTTTTGTCTTGGTCACTTCATTATGAAAATTACAAATTATGAATTAATAAAAATTTTATAAATTTATAATATAATTAAATACATATATATATAACTTATTAATGTGTCTATATAAACAAAAATAATTTATTAATGTGTAAAAGTTTATATAATTTATTAATTTAAAAGCACAAAAATTAACACAAACATATATTTTTTTTCTAAATTTGATTGATAATACAATTTATTTAATTTTAAATTATATAGGAATTAAATCTTAAATTTGAGCATAGTAGAAGGATCAAAATTATAATTTAACTGAAGTACATATCCAAAAGTAGAGGATAAAATTGTGTCAAACTCAAATTAGAGAGATCAAATCTTAAATTTAAGTACAGTAGAAAGAACAAAACTATGATTTTATAAAAGTAAGCATCCAAAATTATCAAAATAGGAAATTGGTAAAAGACATTGCCTATGCGTCAGCAAATTGATGAGCTAAACTTTGTAATTGAAGCATTATAATATTATGGGGAAACTTTTAATTTAGTTGCATAAATTAAATATTTTATTTAATTTATGAGGCATAAAATTCTTATCGGGAGACTCGTCTATTAAAATTATGTGTATGATGTGGGTCGGTTTAGATTAATCAATGCGAAGTCTTGAGATTAGGAGGGTAAAGAAAAAGATTTAATTTGGTATTTTTGAGTTATTTTATATTTTTAATTTTCTAGTTTGAAAATTTAAGTAAAATTTTTTATTAACACATTTTATGTTTGTTTAAGTTTAGTTCAACTTAAAAATATAGATCTCATATTTATAGATGATTAGTCTATGCTTATTTTCAGCATGTTCATATTATTATATTATTTTAAAAAATATATTTTTAGTTTTATTTTTTTTCATATAATCTTTTTAATTAAATTTATTTATTTTTATTTATAAATAATTTAATATATAAGGTGAAGAGGGCATCATTTATGGAAGGTGCTTGTCTAGATATGTCTAAATCATATATAAGGTCAGATTATGTCTTATATTTACTTTTTAACACTCGGTACATGTGTTCAATCAATTAATTCAATTAACTAATCGAATCAAATTACCCAAAATTTATTAACTGAATTTTTTCACTTTAACTATTAATCGAATAAAAAAATCAAAATTTTTTAATTGAACAGGGCTAAGTTCGGTTAATTGAATTAACCAAAATTTATGAATAATATATATTATATATTTAATATTTTCAGTTAATTTGATTAAAAGTGGAGTTTAAACACTTCTAAAACTAAGTAATATATAAATTATATATATAATACATTAAATATTAATAATCTTGGTCATTTCGGTTAATTAATTGATTTCAACCCTAATTAAAAGATAACCAAAATTTGAACAAAACTTTAACCGTTAATCAACCAAATAAAAAAAACCGACCAATTAATTGAGAATTTTTTTGATTCAAACGGTTAATTTGATTTTAACAGAATTATGAACACCCCAACACTCGGTATACTATTTTAGTTTGATAGCACTATTGTCTTTTTTTAAGAAAAAAAAGAAAAAGAAAAATCAGTTAA